TCTATTGATGAAAAACTATTAAGCATCATTAATTTATCAAAGGATTATATATGAGGATCAACAATGTTAATTAAGGAATTTGACACATAATTTATATAGGAACTCTTAGGCGAGCACTGGACATTAAGCATGTTTAGAGGTTTACCGTCGACACTTAAGGCATAAGCCTCACATAACTAATCCCCACACTTAAACCTCGAAGCGTTTTGTCAATGGCTCACCCTAGATGAGTCCCAAAATTGATCCCCTCATGTAAACCTCGAAGGGTTTTGTCAATGCCCCACCCTAGACGAGTCCCAAAACTAATCCCCACAAATAAACCTCGAAGCGTTTTGGCAATACCTCACCCTAGATGAGTCCCAAAATTACCTTTTAATACACTGATTAAATTTCTTGGATAATCCTTTATTTATTTCATCAATCAATATCAAGAGGAAAAGTGTAAAATTACCCCTAAGTTTTTTCTCCCAACAACCCAAAGCAACTCAAACACTATCCTAAATCCACCAACCCCACCAAAATCTTCTCTTTTTTCAATAAAAAATAAATTAATCCAATGTTGCATGAATTAATCACATTATCCTCAAATCTCAACCGTTAATTACACTTAAAATTCACCACTTTTAATCTTTACGTACCAACATTTGTTCCTCTATTTATACTCACCACACTTGCCTTCTATCACAACCAAAAAAAGAAAAAAAATCAAAACATTTTTTTTTGTTATAAGTAAATTCCATTTTTCTCTTAAGTTTTTCAATTACAATTCTAGCCATTTTCTTGATCCAATGGCCTCATCAATTGCGCAAAATGTACATGTCAATGTTCATGATCCATTAAATTGGGAAATGGCTGCTGAATCTTTAAGAGGGAGTCATTTGGATGAAGTGAAAAAGATGGTGTATGAATTTAGGAAGCCAATTGTGAAACTTGAGGGTGAGAATTTGACTATTGGACAAGTTGCATCCATTGCAAATGCCAATAACAAAACTAGTGGGGTCAAAGTGGAACTTTCTGAAAGTTCAAGGGCTTGTGTGAAAGCTAGTAGTGATTGGATTATGGATAGTGTCAGTAAAGGAAGAGATATTTATGGTATTACTACTGGTTTTGGTGCTAATTCTAAAAGAAGAACCAAAAATGGAGGTGGTCTTCAAAAGGAACTTATTAGGTAAATTAAACAACTTAATTTTCATCTAAATTTTTTGATAAATATACTGATAGTGTAAATAATTTTTTTTTACATTTTTCGAAATAGCTTGTCGACTACCTTGTTTTTTCGGATCATTGATGATCATGACGGTACTTGTAGAGTTTCAGTTATTCTTCGTGTGATCTAATAGTGTAAAAATTTCTATAACTCTCTGTGTTATGTTGATTATCTTATTTTTTGTGTTTTTGTCAGTGCATACTTTATAATTATTTTTCATATGATCTGATAACATAAAAATAAAATTATATTTTCGTGACGGAATATAAAAGTTAAAAATCTCAATCTCTATATAGAGAAGCAAAAATGATTAAGCATATATAAAAAATAATCTAGTAATTTTGAGTCAATAGCTATTACAATAATTAATTATTCACTATATCTCTCATTTGTCCTTACAAAGATTATTTTACACTCTCGATATAACTTGTCTGACTGTCTTATTTTTGTGTGTTATTTGATTACGTCGTTACTTGTATTTATTTTTCATATGATCAGATAGCCTAAAAAAGATTTTATAGGATATAGGTATTTTATCGAACTATCTCTATTAAATGATGTTTAATATTAGGTCTGGAAAAGTGATTTGGAGAATAAATATTTAATGCTGAAGATGAAGCATGGAAAAATATAATTGTTTTTTCTTGATATATAAGAAGTGACAAGTAAAAATAAAAATATATTTTAGAAGTAAGTGACAAGTAAAAGTGAACGGAAGGAGTATTTACTGTCATATTATAAAATAATATGATCATATTAGCAAGTTATTAGTTTATTTTCAAATTATCATTTATTAAAGTTAGTATGAAAAGTTACTTATTAGTGTTATAAAGTCAATAAATAATGTGACATATCATATTACTCCTACTTTAATTGACTTATGCATGTGGAGTTTATGGAAATGGTGTGTGTGATGGGTGGGGATATTTTAATCATTTCACTTCATTCAAGTTTTTTCTTTTCTAAAAAATAATAATTCTTTATCAACTTGGAAGGACGTGTGCAGACTTACGAAGCATAAAAAATGCCTTTAAACTATGAGAATTGAACAAAAAAATAACTTGAGTTAGTAGTCTAGTCTAAAAATGTTTCTGCTGTCAATAGTTTGGTCCAAATAATAGGGTGCTCTTCCTCGAAGTATCGACATATGCTCTATTGATGAGACTTGTTATATTTTGTATATAGTTAGTAGAATTCAGTTCAAAATCTAATCTTGATGACACTGATTTTACAGGTTCTTGAATGCTGGAGTATTTGGCAATGGAACAGAAACTTGTCATACATTGCCACATTCAGCAACAAGGGCAGCTATGCTTGTTAGGATCAACACTCTGCTTCAAGGCTACTCTGGCATTAGATTTGAAATCTTGGAAGCAATTACTAAGTTGATCAACAACAACATCACCCCGTGTTTGCCCCTCCGTGGCACGCTCACTGCCTCGGGTGATCTTGTCCCTCTATCCTACATTGCTGGTTTGCTCATTGGTAGGCCTAATTCCAAGGCTGTTGGACCCAATGGTGAGATCCTTAATGCTGAAGAAGCGTTCCGTGTTGCTGGTATTAGTGGTGGATTTTTCGAGTTCCAGCCTAAGGAAGGATTTGCAATTACAAATAGCACAGCAGTTGGCTCTGGTATGGCATCAATTGTCCTGTTTGAGTCCAACATTCTTGCTGTAATGTCTGAAGTTTTGTCTGCGATTTTCGCTGAAGTGATGAATGGAAAGCCTGAATTCACTGACCATTTGACACACAAGTTGAAGTATCATCCTGGTCAAATTGAGGCTGCTGCTATTATGGAACACATTTTGGATGGCAGCTCTTATGTGAAGGCAGCTCAAAAGCTTCATGAAATGGATCCTCTTCAAAAACCAAAGCAAGATCGTTATGCTCTCCGAACATCTCCACAATGGCTTGGTCCTCAAATTGAAGTCATTCGCGCTGCAACTAAGATGATTGAGAGGGAGATTAACTCAGTGAACGACAATCCATTGATCGATGTTTCAAGAAACAAGGCATTGCATGGTGGTAACTTCCAAGGCACCCCTGTTGGTGTCTCTATGGATAATACAAGATTGGCTCTTGCATCAATTGGGAAGTTGATGTTTGCTCAGTTCTCGGAACTTGTCAACGACTATTACAACAATGGGTTGCCATCTAATCTCACAGGAGGAAGGGATCCAAGCTTGGACTATGGTTTCAAGGGAGCTGAAATCGCGATGGCTTCTTACTGCTCAGAACTTCAGTTCTTGGCAAATCCAGTGACTACCCATGTCCAAAGTGCTGAGCAACACAACCAGGATGTGAATTCCTTGGGCTTAATCTCAGCTAGGAAAACAGCTGAGGCTGTCGATATCTTGAAGCTAATGTCATCAACCTATATAGTGGCACTTTGCCAATCTATAGACTTGAGGCATTTGGAGGAGAACTTGAAGAATGCAGTAAAGGACACAGTTAGCCGAGTAGCTAAGAGAACTTTGACAATGGATGCTAATGGTGAGCTTCATCCAGCAAGATTCTGCGAAAAGGAATTGCTTCTAGTCGTGGACAGGGAATACTTGTTTGCCTATGCTGATGATCCTTGCAGTTCCAACTACCCTTTGATGCAGAAGCTGAGACAAGTCCTTGTTGATTATGCAATGAAGAATGGTGAAAGTGAGAAGAATGTGAACAGCTCAATATTCCAAAAGATTGGAGCTTTCGAGGACGAATTAAAGGTTGTGTTGCCTAATGAGGTTGAGAATGCAAGAGTTATTCTTGAAAGTGGCAACCCTTCAATTCCTAACAGGATCACAGAATGCAGATCATATCCATTGTACAGGTTTGTAAGGAAAGAACTTGGAACAGAATTGTTGACAGGAGAAAGAGTTCGATCTCCCGGCGAGGATATTGACAAGGTGTTCACAGCATTGTGCAATGGACAAATCATTGATCCATTGTTGGAGTGTCTCAAGAGCTGGAATGGTGCTCCTCTGCCAATCTGTTAGGTGTTTGCTTGCAAAAGGAGGACCTTTTTGTGGAAGTAATGGTGAAAAAGATGTATTGTATTTGGATTTGGCTTTGTTTTTTTCTTGCATATGTTTGTTTCACGTTGTTTAGACATCTCATTTAACACACGACAACAATAAATATGTTTCAGTTTCAAATAAGTTGGGTCGATTTTATGAATCTTCATTTCTCCATTAAAGTTCAACTCATGTCATCTCCATTTTGTGTTAGGAGGATTCATCAATGAATTTACAAGTTTTACAATGGTTGCCAACCTACCGCTTGATACCGGCAATGCGAGCGCTCACATTTAGTGTAACACAACAACAACCACGCTTCAGTCCCAAACAAGTCAATATCAGCTATAGGAATCATTATTTTTCCAAGTTCCACTCATATCATCATCATTTTGTATTAGGAAGATTTATTATGAATTGACAATGCTTGTTGCCAACCCTACCACAACCGTCCTTCTATACTCACGTAATTTCATTTTAGCACAACAAATTAAACAAAAATAATGAACAGTTCAGAAAAAAAAGAATGGCAATGGGTGCCAAAAGCTGAATGTTTATTGGTTGACATCTGAACCTGTAACAAATATCAGGTTTTCCTAACATATGAAATTAAGATACTTTCAACTGGCTGTAAACATCGAGTGTGAATAAGATTTTTTCGTGTTCAAATGATCGTGATATAGTCAATGGCATAAAAGACCATGAAGCTAGCGCTCATATCGACATACAAGAAATAAGACATTGTTTCAACAAAGCTACTGTTTTCTCTGACAGCATATCTTCAAAAAAACTGTAAAAAAATAATAGGCAATTTCATTCCTGTTAGATCAAATATTCAATAGGTATGAAGCCAAAATTTTCAAAATAAATGGGTGAAAGGAATCATTACTTGTATACTAGTACTATATTCTGTGCCTAGAATTCCTAGAAATTTGATAAGCCTGATCTGTAACTCACCATTTTAGAGACCAGCAAAAACCCCTAATACTAGCACTTCACATAGAGCAAAGTGACCAAATTTAGCTTACTGTGCCAAGCTAAGACTGGTATTGTAATTCACCACTATAGAGATCTTAGACAGTGTCAGCGGGGACAGAGAGAGACACCAAATGAAGATCACACCAAAGATGAGAAAGTCCGCTATCAACCCGAGCCACACCTAATATATGATGCCCTGGATATTGAAGCAAATTCCTGCTGGCAGTGCACCATTCATTGGAAAACCGATCCTGTTTGGTCATCGAATGAGAAGTTTCATCACCTTCATTGTGGACTATGTTGTTGGTATTTCCACCAGGTGACTAAAAGTGTGGTGTAAGCGCTACAACAGGCTGGAATTCAAAGAATTCATTGTTGGCAGCGGTCTAAAATGTAGCAGATGTGGAGCTGGTCTCCGTTGTTCACAGCCTGCTCCAGGCCTCGCTGCATACCTCGAAGTTTGGATCGAGAGTTGACTTGGTGTAAGGATGACGGACTGATAGTTTGGCGTTGGGGTCGGACGTGAACCACTTGTTGGCAGATCAGCAGAGGATGTTGTTTGCAAGGTGGCCCTTGCACTTGTCCGTCGAACTACAGCTAACTCTTCAACTCTAGGCAATTCAGCATTCAGAGATGGAATGGCAGCCATTGGAAAATTCTCAGAGTATATTTGAGGATCAGCAGCTCGTTGCTCGGAGTTGACAGGTTCTGAGATGGATGCAGTAACTGCTGGGACACTACTTGGTCTGTTTGGTAATGATTCTCCAGATCCGTTAATAGTCCTCCCATCAACATCTGGAGAAAAGCACACACTATAGACATCATTTATAAAACTAGACAAAGTATCCGAGAGACAGGAAATGTTTAAAGTTAATAGAATCCGAAAGTAATAGAGCTTGAGATGTTATTTATCCTAATTATATTTCACATTTATATCCCAAAGTTGTATCAAAAGACTAGACAAGTTCAGGCTCTGTGGATAGACAGAATCAGAACAGAGAAAAAGGAGAAATATGAGACTATAGCTTTATATTTGAACATTTTGTCCACTGCTAACAATAGAAATTCTAAAATGCTTGGCTCCACTAACAGATTGATTGAAGTGCTTTCTTTTAAAGCATATGCAACTGCAGATACCATAGTTATAATCAAGAGATGAATCATTAGGAATGCATACCTACAGTCATCTCCAGTGGCCCAACTGAATCAGCAGTATCTTGTACTTGTGTCATGGCTTCGGCTAGTAACTTATGCACATGCACTTTGTTGAAGATCGTATCAAGATCTTCTTGCTTTTGAGATAATTCCATTTCAGCAATCTGAAGCAGCAAATCATACTTCTTCATAATTGAATCTAGCTCTTTTTCAAATTCAGATTGCAGGAGCAATTTCTGCATAACAATTATAAATGAAACCTTAAGTTGTCTTTGCAATGTGAAGCATTGTCATAATTAAATTAAAAAAATAAACAATAAATGAAAAGACACAAATGAACAAGAAAAGGACAGAGGTCGGAAGGACAAACCACATCTTCATGCAATTTCGTAATTTGTTCTCTCTCCTTTTGTATCCTCTCCATCTCCATATGAAGTGGGTGTAGGTAAGGGGATTGAGGCAGGTTAGGTGTGTTTGGAGAGGCATCGGGACGGCATTGATCTTCGTGGCTGTTTCTGCTTTTCATACTTGTACCATTCACTGCACCAATACTCGCATGTTGTTGCAGTGGCAAATTTCCTATAGACCGCTGAATAGAAGAGTCTATTGACCAATTCATGGAATCTAAAATCTGGTGACTGGAAGAATTAATACAAATCTCATGGCTCTGATGATTGTCTTTAGTTGGTTTATCACACTGAGGACTACGATTAGTTGCAAGACGCCTGCATTTATTCTTATCACCAGCAGAAAGATGAGATGTTCCTAGAAAATGGGATTGGCATCAAAAACCAAATATGTCAGTGCCTGATGATAAAAGAAAATTACCGGGAACAAAGACATAAATTAGGCACTACATACCAAGTTTACGCTGGACATGCAATTTCCTTTTCTTCCTTAACTTGGGCTCTGGAGTAAGATGAACTTTATTGCCCTCTTTTTCAGAAACTTGTTCCCCTTTAGATGGCTGATTCAAATCACCCTGGAGTCTAACTTTCCTTCTATTCCCTCGTGATGGACTAGGCGAGTGTTTCCACCTAGGAACCCTTCCATGCAGCAGATTTGTCCAGAAAACGTGGGGAGATTCATTCTCCAGCAATCCTCTCACAAAAGAAGAATCATCCATCTGTTGCATTTCCAGTTCACCAAGTAGAGATGTTTTACTTGGATAAGTCCCACCATTCTGCTGTACTTTCAATATCTTTGAACAGCTGTTATAAACACTGTTCTCACAGTTACTAGACAGTAAGCCTAAGCATTCAGCAACGACATCATCTAAAGCAGCAACTTCAGATGATCTCTTTGAGATTGAAGATTGTACATGGAAACAATCAAGCATATTGAAAAGATAAGAGGCACCCCAAGTTAGCAGCACATGGCAAGCGGCTTGTTTCATATTCTCTATATTACTGTCAATTGTCAGACCTTGCTTTGCAAGAATTAGTGCTTTCTCTTCAACAGTAAAACATGAATATAGACGTAATACCTTTATATGCTCCGACTGTGAATAAACTGTAATCTTCTGCAGGGATCTTAAATCATTATTTGGGTCCCAGTCACTGTTAAACAAAATAATTATATCTATTCCCGAAAGCTTGACACTGGGAACACAAGCACGAGTTTCCATCAAAACAGCAAATTTCCCACTTCCCTTATTGTTGAACTTGTTCAAGGTAGCTTCCTTCATTTTACGAGTAACATTCCCACTAATGCTCGTATAAGAATCCCCACCAAACTTCCGATAAATAAAATCATCCAAGATATCCCCAATGGAAATAACACCAGAGCCACCAAGAGACTGTAACATTATCAACATAGAATCAGTTAAATTTACAAACATTGGCACTAGCCCTTACGCAAAGTATTAGGAGACAAATAAAACAAGATCACATGTGTATTAGAGCAAATCCAACAAATAACAATCAATTCAATCTTTTCGAAAGACCATTTCCTGACGGATATATACATCTCCACAAATAAAAATAAGAAAGAACATACAAGAGAGCTCCAAGGGGGGGGGGGACTAATCATCATTTATATGGTCGCATGCAGTCACTTGGGGATATCAAAGTCACATATGGAAATCGGAAAAGAACTAGAATGAAAGAAAAAATTGAAGTAAAAGCAGATACCCGGAAAAGAACGAGGACTCTTTGTCCTTGCTGTTTGATCTCCTGAAGAATTTTATTGAGGAGTTCCAATTTGCCACTTAGTTTAATTTCAGCATCAAAGTGCTGATCTACAGGAATGCCATCCATAACTACGTCTTGCAGAGATCGATCTTCGAGGTAAGGGTGATCACAACACTAAAAACAAAGTGAAAGTCCACGTCAGAGATATGGTGATATGTCACACACAAAAGCTAAAGGTATTACATTTTAAGACTGAATTACTGGAAGCTAAAAAAGTCGAACCAGACCGAACCTTCCTGGTAGATACTAGAATATCGCAGAGGGAGCTTGGTGAGTCATTCTTCAGACATGAGCAAAGCCATGCTGAATTTGAAAAGAGGCAAGCGCAATATTGCTCAATTTGTTCATTGGAGAGTTTGACAGGAACCCAGTATTCAATGAACTTGGAAGTGGAGGACTTGCACTCATATGCAACAAAGTGTTTAAGCCTTTCCTTGAATTCAGTTAGATCTATGTCAGAATCAGTGTCTAACAGCTTATTGTTGGCCTTGTCATGTTTCGGATCAAGAAAAGAGAGAATGTTGCAACGATTGAACCTTCTATCACATCTATCCTGATACATCTAAGAGACATAAGTTACTGTAGATACTTGGGAATCTATTCAGAATAGAAGAATGCAAACCTCTAGTTGACGAAAAATAAGTAATCTCATATCAGCAATGAGCACTTTAAGTTGTGAGTGATGCATTGACATGGAAGAACCCTGACACTGATCTATAATTACTGCTCCCCAACCTATTGGTCTAAGCATTTCAAGATCCTGCATGAGGATAAATGTTAAATATAGATCAGAAAAATATTACACTGTATCTGCACCCCCGACTAATGGGTTTAAGCATTTCAAGATTCTGCATATAAGTTAAGAAACTGGACCTTATCACAACCCCAAACGCTAGTCCATGAGGTGAGGATTGTCCAAAACCATAAAAGGAGACCACAACTCACTCCATCAACCAATGTGAGACAATCTAACATCCCAGGCACGCCAAGTGCTAGACATCGGGAGGATGGACAATATAACACGGGTACCCAACATTAAGTAAACGAAAGATAGAAATGGGTCTAACTCTGATACCATGTAAAAAAATGAATCAAGAACCCAACTCAACCCAAAAGTTAGCCCAGATGAGGACTGCCTAAATCTATATAAGGAGACAACAACTCATTCGATCAACTAATGTGGGACAATCTAACAATAAGGATAGTGCTATATATAGGTCAGAAAAATTATCACCCAGTATCTGCTTCCCAGCTATGGGATTGGGCATTTCTAGATCCTACATAAGGATGAATGCTAATATAGATCAGAAAAACTATAATACCATACTGCAATGTGACAGAATACAATGTGGGGTAATCATTTAAGGTGGAGCACAACTTTCGAAAAAATCCATCTTGAGAAATAACACATGAATACTTCATCTCTCATTGTAAGTCATATGGCAAACAAATGAAAACGAAAAAAAAAGAAGAAGGTTTACCTCAACAATAACATCATAACATGACAGGAGAACCTGAAACATAAGGGCACCTTGTTTGTTGTAAAACTCGAGTGTCCTAATAATGGCCCGTATATCTCTATTACCTTTGTACACAACAATGTTAGCATAACCCCAACGTGAGAACTCAGCTTCCCACAGAAGAAGAGCAGCAGAAGTTGTGATTATGAGAAAAGGAAGACCGACATCCTTGGGCAAGGACAATAGAAATAAGACCACCTTCAAAATCCGTTCCTGTGAATTATAGACATTGAACAGTTCAGCTCCAGTTAATATTTTAGACTCAAAAGAAGGAGCAGCAGGCATTTATAATAGGTGAAAATCTTGGAGGATCAGATTACAACAAAAGAGAAATTGGAGAATCATCAGCAAGCTTGAAACTCAATGTATCAGAATGTATGAATGACTTGAAAAGAAATGGAGGTTCAGCAAAATTCCAAAGGCTGAAACCTCTGTAGTGCAAAGGAACAAAATTCAGACGGCAGAGGCCACAAGCCTGCTACTGTGTTCATTGGAACTTTAGATAGAATTTGGCTGCATAGTTGTAGTTGCAAAGAGGATGTGTGCATAAGAAGGAGAATTGGAAAAGCATCCACCCACCTGGTCATCAATGATGACAGCACTCTGACCCTTTTGCCAATATTTACGAAGACCGTTGATAAAAGAAAGATGATTGCTATAGACTTGAGGTGCACTTCCAAATAAAGGCGTCGGTAGTTCTGGAAAGTTGGCTTTCCTTTTCTGCAGGATTATTGGAAAAACATGACCTCATTTAGGCTACAGAATTACAAACACAATAAAAACACATTGGACAGTTAATATTTTTCCCTTTCATTGGTTACCTTAATAAGGAAGAAACTTCAGAAGCAAAATACTTTTGACAACAAGAAATTTGAAAATACTTTTAAATAAGAACAAAATAGTAGATACTAGTTTGATCTCAAACTGAGTGTCAACTTCAACTGCGTTTCTGAGAAGCTGAAGGCAGGAAGATTGAAACTCCACAATAAACTCCATGAGTGATCTGAGGCTCAAGTTACACACTCATTAAAGTGCCAAGGGCCAAGCGAGTCTACAGAACTAGTGAGCAGGAAAGTTGTATGTAAAAGTTACCGTCTCAAAATATATTTTTTGGGCGTGAATATTTTTATACATTTTTCCGGAGTTAAATTTCAGAAATCATGTTTGGCCATTAAATTCAGAAATTCTAAACACTAAAAGTTGTTTTCACTTTTTTCACTCCAAATCACTCGAAAAAATAAAAAACAACTCCGATTTGTATTCATAGCGAAACACAACTCCAATTTCCAAATATCATTGTTCACTTTGAAAAAAAAAAGTACTTCTTTCAAATTTCAAAATTTTTATGGCCAAACGAGCTCAGAATAGATCAACCGATCAAGGTCGATGCAATTCCTAGAATAATGAGGACATGTACACTAGTTTCTCTCTCCTTCACACACACTAGGTTCAGTTTAACTACTAAAGAATCATGCAGAATGGATCAAGGCCACCGCAACTTTTTTTAGAATTTTGAGGGCATGCAGAACTCTCCCGGTGAATAGGTGTATCCTCTATCAAATGTAAGTGATTCCATGGAATTTCTAAACTTGTTCTAGCAATAAAAAGTTTAGCATCAGCTCAATACTTGACAAATTCCATAGCAACAACTGAGACTAAGATTAGCATGAAAACTGGCAAGATTGCATAAATTTCGTTATGGGGAAGTCAAGTCCTGATTTGCTCATAAATCTATGTAAATGAACTGAGAAGTGTCCAAGTCTTTTTAAAGATGAAGGTGACCACATTGAAATTCAAACATAAAACTGGAGAACAATAATTGATAGTTTTGACCAACTGCAGAACATCATCCAAAGATGCGTATCTTGACAAGGCAAACATGTAAATGATAGTTGCATATTAGCTAAAGAAACATCAAAATAACAACAGCATCAAAAGCAATTTCAGTAGAAGCATAAAGATAAATATTCAAAAGCCTTCTGTCAGCAGGTAATGACAGAATATTTTTGTGAAACAGGCTAAGGAGAAAAAACAAAATGCGTGAACTTTTGCTCTATTCATTGAAACTGAGTAACTATGTTTTGTCAGTAGAAGGAAAAGGGATGTGAAATCAACAGTCTCATGTTTCTTGACAGGTTTCAGTCAAAAGAATGTTTTAAGTGTCATACTGCTCCTAGTACTCCATGAATTTGGTGTACACCCAAGGCAGGTTGAACCGTTGAAGAGAAAGGATCCTCCTGAATCTCAAGCTTAGCTTTACATCGATGATTGGGTGGAGTTTGTAAAGAATAATATTGTTTTGTAGATTATGTACCTTTTGGTATACCCCTGGTATACGGCTATTTATGCCATGTTTATGAATGAAAATACTTTTACTTGATAAAAAAGAAAGAACTACCTCATCTTCCGTCAAAGGATGTGATTCTTTCTTAGCCAGCTGATGACGGATTTCATAATCTGTCATGAGTTTGACTGCCTCATGCGACATTAGAAATGAAGCATTCGCCAATTCCCATGTGGCATGACTGTAGTCAAGATCTGTCCATTTCACAAGCCACTCATAATGGCAATCTGCATCATCATCCAGAACTGCTAACTTCCTCTTGTCTAGCAAACGATGAGGAAGACTCCACTCAGTTTTCCAACTTACACTCTGGAGAAATCATCATAGAGCTTTCAAAGGTGACTTGCAGAAGAAAGAAGGCAAGAAAAGATTATGATAATCATTGTACCTTGTGATTTTTCTTGAATCTCGTAAGGGCTATTGGAGCCTCAAGACGCACCTGCTCCTCTGTAATCCAGCGATTATGAACATGAGCAAGACCTTTGTACTTCACTAAATACTCCCGCTTTTGCACCACTGGTTCCATATTAGAAAAGTACAAATAGACCGGTCGATGTCACACTGTAGAACGTAATCAAAACAAGATATAAGAAAAATTGTAGATAGCATGTACCTTCATCACCCAAACTAAGCTGTCTGGCATCCAAAAGGGACTCTATTCCTTCAGATATAGCATGAACACCTAATTTCATCTTTTTTCTGATACACCAATAACAGTGCCATGGTCCAGGTGGAAAATAGGTCACAGAGGGGACAAGACAAGTAAGATGGAAGTTCCTTTTACATCCTCTTCCAGTACAGCATCTGGAAAAAAAAAAAAAAAAAAGGAGATGTGATGCTCTAAGGTACAGAACCAAGAAGTAGCTAGAGGCTATTATATCAGGTTTGTTACAGAATGTATATAGATCTATTGCTTGATATTGTACAAAGATAGATAGATAGCATATCTTTAGGATTTCCTCTTTATTTCTTTCCTTAGTTAGCTTCTAATGTTATTGTATTTTACCTATTGAATAAGATACAAGTTATTCTCTTCAATTCCTTGCACAAAAAGCGCCCACAAGTTAGCTAGAGCCCTCTTCGCTTTTTTCCTCTTCTCACTTCCCAAAACACTGGCATGGAAAGGTTTGTCATTTGAAGAAGTCCTTGTATGGCTTGAAACAGTGTCCTCGAGCTTGATGTGGAAAATTTAGCGAGGTAGTTTAGGAGTTTGGACTCAAAAAGGGCAAATGTGATTAGGGATGGCAATGGGGCGGGGCGGGCGGGGTGGGTTTACGGCTATGTGGGGCGGAGCGGGTTTAAGGTTGTGTGGGCGGGTCGGATGCGGGGTGGATTGAAGTGGATTTTTTAAAAATTAATGTGAGGTGGGGCGGGTTGCGGGAATATGTGATTTTATGTAGGTTCAAACTTAATTTTAACTTTTTACATGTAATAAGAGTGATAGAGCATTATTTATTAAGATAATTTCATTAAAGCTACTAAAATATTCAACATAATAAATGAAAATGGTTCAATAAAAAATAATACAATTTCTTACATGTTTCCCAATTGACCTCTAAAAAATAAAATTTTAAGTCACTATCCTATTAAATTAATATAACTTAATGAAAAATGAATTATTTTATGAATTTATTTTTAGTATCAAACATAACTAGAAAAAGAAAATATTAAAAAAATTATGCGCAGCGGGGTGGGGCGGGTTGAAAATGAAAAGAGTTGTTATGGGGGGCGGGGCGGGGTGGATTAAAAAAATTTGCAGGTTAAGCACAACCCGCACCGCCCCCGCCCTACAACGCCCCATTGCCATCCCTAAATGTGATCATCCTGTCTTTTACAGGCAATCTGATGCTGGAACTATACACCTTGTTGTATATGTCGATGACATTGTCACTACACAAAGTGATTTTGTAGGTATCTCTTCTCTCAAGTCTTTCTTACCTACTAAATTTCATACAAAAGACTTGGGACAACTTAAATACTTCTTGGAAATAGAAGTATCTACAAGCAAGAAAGGAATTTTTCTATCTCAGACTACCAGCAGAAACCGAAAAGTTGGCTGCCAAACCTTGTAGCTCCAATGGTTCCTAATGTGCATCTTATGAAAGATGATGACCATCCATTTGAAGATCCAGCGCAGTACAGAATGTTGGTTGGGAAATTAAATTATCTCATTGTGACTCGTCCAGATATCGCCTTTGCAGGAAGTGTGATTAGTCAGTTCATGTCCACACCCACAGTCAGACATTGGGCAACTTTAGAATAGATCTTATGCTATTTAAAAGGAGCCCCTGAACTTGGCATATTGTATAGCAATCATGGACACTCTCACATTGAGTGTTTCACAGATGCAGATTGGACTGGATCCAAGATTGATCAAAGATCTACTATTGGTTACTGTGTTTTTGTAGGTGGAAATTTGGTGTCATGGAGAAGTAAGAAACAAAACATTGTATCTCGATGGTACGCACTCAAAGCCTATGTTCACTAGATAAATTGAAAAGGATATGGTAGTGATCTCATTCCATGCATTGCACATTTTGTTCATCCAAGCTGCGCAGAGCTAGGTTCAAGATCGGAAATTCCTTTCTCTTTTTTACCATCTAAAATCGAAGAAAAGAAAAAAGGGCGAGATAAACAAATAAAGAGCTAACTAATCCGAGTATAGAAAAATGGCACATTCTACATGTGAAATCATGTGGATACATCATCTTTTAACTGAAATTGGATTGAAGCATTCTACTTCATCAAAACTTTGATGTAATAATTAGGTTGCCCTTCATATTGCTTCAAATCTGGTATATCATGAAAGAACGAAACATATTGAGGTTGATTGTCATTTTATTTGTGAGAAGATTCAAGAAAACTTAATATCTATGGGCAACGTGAAGACGGGAGAACAAGTAGCTGATTTGTTCACGAAGGCATTGCATGGAGCTCGAGTTGATTACCTTTGTAACAAGCTAGGCATGATCAATATACATGCTCCAGCTTGAGGAGGAGTGTTACGGAATGTATATAGATCTATTTCTTGATATTGTACAAAGATATAGATAGATAGCATATCTTCAGGATTTTCTCTTTATTTCTTTCCTTAGTTAGCATCTAATGTTATTATATTTATACATGTTTACCTATTGAATAAGATACAAGTTATTCTCCAATTCCTTACACAAAACTTCTTTTGTCCTTCCGGAAACAGACAGCACTTTCCCAAGCAGTTGTACCTTCTTCACTATAAGAATCCTTCAGCATTATAAGGTTCATGCCGAGAGATCCAATTCATTAAGGGACATCCAATTTCAAAGAACCAAACACAAAATAATTGAACATTGTCACCGACAAGTCATTGTTAAAAGTGTGGATGCTCAAGTTCTTTATGGTTTGGATTGGATGCTCAAGTTCTTTCACAATCATAATGACAAATAGTGCCAGAATTACATATAATCTCTTTCAGCAAACATTCCAAGTCTTTCAAAACCAAGGCAGCTAAAATAAAATGGTCTTAATGTGTTTCTGATTATTCTCCTTTTTCATTTATAGCCAAGACATCTGTTGTTCTCAGTGTTGGGTTCTGAAGGGTGATTAGGGCGTCATGCGGAAGCTTATAATTTGCAAATCAAACAGTTGATAAATCAGATAACAAAAAACTTATACTAAAAATCAAAAATATTATTATATCAAAACTAATATAAAGAAAAACATTGAAACTTTAGAGAGAATAAATCTCCCCATAAACAAGACTCTTAAACAACTACATTGCGGATGTTATTGTTATTGTTTTAGAAGAAACAAACCTATATTTATAGAGTCCTAAAACCTTTTCTTACTAGAAAAGGAGTCCTAAAAGGAGAGAATAAACCAAATATAAAATAATATTATATTTTCCTTTCAAGAAAAGTAAAAACATTTATGGTAATGTTTTGTTTTTTCTTAAGGAAAAATAAATCTTAAATTATGGTAAGAAAATCAGGGCAAAACCCTAACACTCAGCTTCGAAAAATGGTGGGGTAATGGATCTACTCCCCTACCTTTCTCCACTAAACCACCAGACTTGGTTCAGAAGGCAGAATTCATACTGGTGACATGCTCTTAACGCATCTTGCTTTGTAATACCTTTCCCGTTAGACCAAGACCGTGGAAACATTGACTATTTTCCTATTTCAACTACAGCTTCTTGATGCATTGTGTAAATTTTAAATTTTCAAAAGATTAAATAAGAAACTATGAGATAACTTTATAAAGATATTGAGTTACATGTTATTTCCTCTGTTTAACTTTTGATATCTCTATGTTGTGTGGATTTTTTTTTTCTTTCTACTGAGTGAAGGTTGGGGGGACGAGGGGTGTCAGGAAAATTTAAAACCAACCACACCAATGGAAACAAGCCTAACTAAACCATATTTGTTTTCATATATAGGTTCCCGTATGAGCCTATAACCATACCGAATCATTAGGTTCATTTTTCATTTAGAGAACTTAATCATTAGGTTCAAATTTTACTTGCATAAAACATTAGTATTTTGAGCCTTAGCAGGTATCAAGACTTTTACATGCCTATATTTTTTTTTGAGAAGGTAACATACCTATATAGATTTACCAATTTAAGCTAACTATTGAATGATTCACATAATTTACTCTTCTTTTCTGTTATTTTTCTTATTGTTGTTAAGAAATAGAGTGGTATAGTTTCACTATTTGGAAAGTACAACAATTAAAGTAGTAGAGATATATTCCAAATGAAAATGTGCAACTTCGCATTACCTTTTCTTATAAGGTAATGGTAATTTTATTCAAGCAAATACCAAGAAGGTACCAAAAGTACTTCCCATTACCTTTTTTATTTTACTTGTGCTCTATGCTATACAATATTGAATTAGCCCCTTATGACTTTGAATTGAAGGAATAAACGGATGAAATCAAGAAATAATTCAACTAATTCGTACCAACAAACCAAAGAATGGGGGAGTCGAACTCTTTTCAATATATTCTCCGGTTGTCTTAAATGAGACAAAGATGAATGAAAATAATTAATTTCATCAAAATCCATTACACTATCAGGTTTTTTTAATCCTTCTTTTCTTCAGTCACCTAATTTTAGTTTGGCTTTTCTTAATGTATGTTCAACCGAATAACATCAATAAGAAGCAATACTTTCAAATGATGTAACCTTGATAGTTGAGGCATGATGCACCCTCAAAAAATCATAAAAAACTTTAGAAAGTAGGTTTGTTTTAAAAGTAAATGTTACTCGGTTCATTTTTTTTTCTTAAAAAGAGCAGTGGAACTTTTTATATGTTATATTGAAGTTGATATGTATTTTGTAACAAATAGCAATCCCAGTAACATTTATATTCTTATTCAACTTAAATTTAAAGGACCAAATATTATCCAAGCCGAATTGAAACCCAAGAGAAATCAGGATGATTGGAGTGGTTCGAAAAAGTTTAATTTTGGTTATACACATTAAGATACTTTTAAAATGGTATGATATAAATTTCTTGATATAATCGGTCGAACTAAAACCATTGACACCCTAGAAGAGTGAGAGAAATAGACGCAAAGCTTACAGTGGGCTATGGCTCATAGTTCTTTTTTTCTCAAACTTTTAGAACAATGATGTACCTGGATTTACAATGAAGTAACTAATGGTGTTTGATCAACTCACAATAGATTTCCTTTCTGCTTGCATATTGAACAGTCCTTAGATTCACCTCCACTCTTATCATCCTGTTTGGAGCCCACACAATTCGCATCATGAGTCCTGTCAACTTTAAGCTCTGCTTTAAAAGGCTCAGTGACCTTTTTGTCCTACAAAATATAGAAGACAAATTATCAGTTAGTTCATATTGTCCAAGATAAAAAAAAACATGACAATCAGCCTCCCAAAAAAACATTTTGCATCACTTCCAGAAGGAAAGATTAGGCCAAAGATTAAAAGACCAATATAGCAGCAGCAACAAAACTTTTCAAAATGTCTGTTGTACAGGTTCTTATTAGTCTCACTTAGAACCCTAAAATTTACATTCCAACTTCACATGGTGCCTTCCATAAAACCTGTTAACAGGAATATTTGTGTTCTCTTTAACAGGGGTGTTGTATTCTCCTTATGTCTGAAAGACCTTAGTATATCAGACCTCTTTGAGCACGAAAAACTCTATTAGTATAACATAATAGAAGGAGATATCTGAAGATGAAAGAGCATTCAGTGGTTAAAGTAAAGCTAAAAAGATTTTAAGAACTTCTCTCAGACTATAAAATGTTTAAAGACACTACCAATATTTGCTACATGAAAAACATAAAACTTGAGGGGAAATATATTTCTTGGAAAAGCAAGCAATCAAACAAAGAAACAACAGAAACAACTGCATCAAACATTTCACTTGTAGTCTAGAAAGGAGAATTGAAACAAGGATTTGAAAGACTGCAAACAAGAGTAAAACATTATCAGAAGCCCGGTTGTATGCACTGCAACAAAATACCAAATAATAGGGATGCTTAAACCACTTCTGTGTGGGAAATAGAAGATTTAAAGTGTAAAGACTGCAATCATGAGATCAAAATTAATTGATATTTTCCATTACCTCATTGGAGATAAGAAATTATTTTATGCAGCTCGAAAAGACCGCAAGAATATCTTCCATAGTCTATGGCATGTAAGTATGTCCATAAACACAATGGAGTTGCACCAAAATTTCAAACTACCAAATTAACCTACCATTTTGACATTTTAAAGTTTCTGTCTAGTTCAGGTTGCTTATTGTCCTAATTTAACAAAAAAAAAAAGCTGCTTAAACGAGCAGCCAAGTATCATCATTTTGTCTCATTGGTACGTTTCCTTCATCATAGTTTACTAGGTAAATGTTGGTTAATGGTTTCTTTAAAAACAAAATGTGATAACAATAGTGTTCAGGTCAATTTGCACACTCCTCGACTATTAAACCGAATGTTTGCATCCTTCCACAAATACAAATAATGGTTAACTTTGCACACCAAGCTTAGGTAAATAGGAAGATATCACAAAACGGTTTTGCCTCTGCGAAGATATGTCCATTAATTACCATAATATATATTCCAAGTTTCATCGACCACTAGGCAACACCCTTGCATACCTGACTTTCTAAATTAATTTTAAAAAAATTCTGTAAAGTTCGAAGATAACACTTCTGTCACCTAATATAAATAGGAAGTACCTCCTTTGTTATCTATCGACTATCTTGTAAATTTGATCTAAGGAACTTAAATCAAAAGATTTGGTTCACCTTAAAGATTTGATTGATATAGGTTCTATCATAATTGGGTTATATATTAAACCTAAAGCTACTAGTAAAGGTTCAGTCAAACATCACCACTTATGCATTTTTGGAAATACAAGCACTTGTGCGAACTTCATAATAAATTAACATGATTTTTTGACATTGCAACTGTAAGCACACCAAACGAAACCTTTATATCCATTAAAACTGATTAAAAGAGGAAACAGTTGAAGATCAATCTTAGACATTTACTGACATTCTCCTTTGATGAACAAATTTGTTTCTCTCTTCGATCATCCACCCTGAAAAAGAATAAGAACACAATAGAATGGTATCACAACAATGAATGTGGAAAAAAAAAAACGACAAACAGAGAGATACTCCATAATAACAACAACAATTGCGCCTCAGTCCCAAACAAGATGATTGGCTAGATGAAAGAGTTTCAAAATAGAAGAAGTAAACTTGCTAAGAAGTCGAAGGGGTTCAAAGTACTGTTTAATCTTATATAAACAGTATAATTTCTTTGACCTAGAAGTCGGATAAACTCCTCGGCCCTACCTTGCTCCGTGCCTGGAAGTATACCCATTTCTTCATTTAAGCTCATTTATGACTGATTATGCACGAAGATTCTCGGATAATAGTGTGCAAGATAAGCTAGAGAATTACAAATTATGCCAAAAAATAAAAAACCAGAAAACTGCAGAATCAAAATCTCCCACAACAAATTAGCTTACTCAATAACCAACTGTTCTGCAGCTTCATTTTGATTGGTAACAAAAGCAAGAAGTACAAATATTAATATTTTGTTTGGCACATAACCCCAAATACTCCAAACCAAAAAAAATATTATTTCTACAATTATTTTTATATTTATGTACAAAAAAAAAATTAGTAGGCATAAATAATTTATATAAAAATCATTTTAAAAAATTGATCCAAAATTCATAAACTAAAAATCTAACTCCTCCTCTAAAGCACATACCTGTGTGCATTTACTTCTTCCACCTTGTGTTCTTGCTCTTGAGTCGATTGATCCTCCTTTTTAGCAGCATCTTCTGAACAGGGTTTTTAAAAATAAAAAAAAATGAAAAAATATATTATTCCACTGATTAGACCTTTTAAGAAAATGAAAAAATCTACTGTTTCATACATATATTTATTTATTTTTAAAAAAACGAGTACAGTGTTTTTTCCAAAAAAAATTCACCAGAGGGTTTCGATCTTTGTTGTGCTCGTTGTTTTAGCCATTGTTTATAGCTGCGCCCAGTCATTCTCTTCTTCAAACTACCTTCCTCGTTTTTCTCCATTGTTCTCAAATAATTCAGCAGTTTACAGTCTCTATTGTTTGTTTGTTTAAGCTTTATTTTGTCATTAAGCTTCAAATGGCGAAAACATTGACTGTTGCCATAGCCAGGTTTTCTCCTCCTCCGTACGCTTTTCTGCCACCTGCACAGTGCTGCCTACACTTCTTTCCGCCTTGAGATAGTGCTCTGCATCAACTGTGCCAGTGCATGCAGTTAATGGAGTGAGAGAGAGAAACTGTGTTAACTTTTTGAGAGATGGTTACTCAAATTTGTCTTTATTATGAGTCACTAACACATTGTTTGGAGGATTGTTATGCATTATATTATATTGTTAGTTTAAATATCATATTTGTTTTGATTATTAGTTAAATTTTATTATATTGTATGCTTTAATTTATCATTACTAACAACCAATCTAAAACAACTGCGTGTTATCTTAATATTTTTTCTTATTTGGCTTTACTTATTATTTAGTAATCATTTTTAAATTCTTTATCGTCGAGGGGGCGTTCAACCACTTGACGATAAGAAGAGGGAGCTTGATTGGTACCAAGTAGAGCTGTCAAAATGGGTTTGGCCCACTAGGCCGGCCCAATCCAACCCTTGAATTAAGTGGGGTTGGACCTAATTTTTTTGGCTTATTTAGGAATGAGGCTTTTTAGTCCAACCTCATTTGGCCCGCAAGCCTCAGAGGCCAGCCTGTGGGCTATGAATATTTAAAAATATTTTTTATATATATTTTTAGTAGTGTTTTATTTGTAAAGTTTTTATCAATAAATATTTTTAAAATAAAAATCAAATCTTTTAAACTAGCTAGTTTTTTGTGGGAGGAATGGTGGAATGATCAACATTTTCCCGCTAAATCTTATGTTGACTATTATGTATTTTTGTATGTATTCACCGAAGTGTGTGATTCATAAATGTATTTTTGTAAGTATTCACCAAAGTGTGTGATTCATGAATGTATTTTTTGTAAGTATTCATCGAAGTGTGTGATTCATAAATAAAAATTTGTATGTATTGATGTCGTCTTCATAAACGTCAACGTTCGATACTCTTAGATACTCTTTCTAAGAGAGTAATATTGTTTAGTTTTTGGTTGAAGGGTCAACCCGTCCCAACCCGTGGCCCGTTTAGGGCTGGGTTGGGCTGCTATTTTATAGGTCATTTAATTAAAAGGGTCAGCCCGTCCCAACCCATTTAACTCTCTAGCCCGTTAGGGTTGGGTTGGGTTGGACCAGCCCATTTTGACAGCTCTAGTACCAGGCTCTAAAAGAGTTTTCTTCTAGTGATACCTTTATATTTTTAGCTCTAACTCATATTCTACTTTTTTGTAGGTTTATCTTTTGAATTGTTGATTGTGACATTATGTAACGACGAATAATAATACAACCTATACAAATGTTATATTTATTAAAATTATATAATACAATACATTACAACATAATACAATATATTATATATCGTATTGTATTATGTTGGTATTATGTGTTCATAATATTAGTTAAGAATATATGTTTATTAATTAATATATTTTCAAAAAGATAATATATATCTTAAATATTTAATTTAATAAAGCTTCCTATTTATCTAATATAAATTTTAAATAATTAACTTGTATTTTAAAATTTTAATATAATCTTATGATTGTAATTGTGCGTACATGTAATTACATTGTGATAAACAATCAGATCAGTGTAATTACTACACTGAGTAATTACTAAACTGATAATTACTATCCTACTAATTACATCAATTTCAATTAGCAGAAAACAGACCCTAACAAAGAGAAATATTAAAATTGTTAACAGTTTTTTTTATTTATTATTATCTTATATTGACTAGCAAAATTAAGCAATCAGTGTTGATTATTCTTTGAAATATGTACAATATCGGTAATTCTGAAAATTCAATACGGTGATCTAATCTTTTAACATATTCTTTAAATATCGCCTTGGAGAGAAATACAAATAGTAATATTACTCAGCAAATATTGTAAATTTTTTAACTCCTAATGTAGTAATGTATTTCACGTAAGCTAATTGTTGTACTAATCACAATCCAACCACAACAAGATTATTAGAAATTTTGGATTAATCACCAAAAAATTTCGAAGTGGTAAAATTTGTGGAAAAACTAAGTTAAATAATACTACTAAAAATGGTTGCCCACACGGTTTTAGTCTAGTGGTAAGAGCACAACACGTGATGTGTGAGTTAGGCGTACGTCTCTGCTCTAAACAAAATCTTGATATTTAAGTAGAGAAGGGTAGAGGGAGCGAATCCATTATCCAAGTTTTGTCATTTTTTATTTGTACTACCTTATAAACTTTCTTAGTTAAAGAAATAGCATCCACCCAAACCATTAAATCTTGGGGGAGTTACACACATATATATACTTCTTCACAATTTGCTACTCCCTCCGTTTCACAAAGAATGACCTGGTTTGACTTGGCACGGAGTTTAAATAAATAAAGAAGACTTTTGAATCTTGTGGTCCTAAATTAAAGTTATGTCAAATGTACAAAATTGCCCTTAATCTTGTGGTCTTAAACATGCCACGTGGAAAGCAGAAAGTAAAATGTTACCAAAAAAAGAAAGAGGTCATTCTTTTTGAAACTGACTAAAAAGGAAAGGAGGTCATTCTTTGTGAAACGGAGGGAGTAGACCCTAAAGTTTTGAGTTCGAGCAGAGCAAAAAGTGGCAGCTTCATGGTCTTCTGATTCATATGATTTTCTCTATTACTCCCTCCGTTCATAAAGAATGACCTGGTTTGACTTGGCACGGAGTTTAAATAAATAAAGAAGACTTTTGAATCTTGTGGTCCTAAATTAAAGTTATGTCAAATGTACAAAATTGCCCTTAATCTTGTGGTCTTAAACATGCCACGTGGAAAGCAGAAAGTAAAATGTTACCAAAAAAAGAAAGAGGTCATTCTTTTTGAAACTGACTAAAAAGGAAAGGAGGTCATTCTTTGTGAAACGAAGGGAGTACAAATGATCTTGGCTTGAACAAAGAAATGGTGGGCCTTAAGGATGTAATGGACAAACTAAGAGGTAGACTAAAAGAAGGATCTTCAAACCTTGATATCATTTCAATCGTTGGCCTGCCTGGAGCGTGAAAGACAACAAACTATAGAGATCGAGATTCAAGTCTCAAAGTTAACATGGTTGTGGATATATATTCGTTAAATGGAGAAACTTTTGGAGGATATAGGCATATAGCAAATGAGTATCTGTTGGACATCTTACCGAATTTAATACTTTATCACAAACACTTGTAAGAAATTCTCAAAGTTCTTGAGGATATTTCACCCGAAATAGGGTGATTTGCAAGCGCATATTTTTCTTGTAAGGAACATGTTGATATGAACTTGGAAAGGACACCAAAACTCTTCGATGTGAAGTATTGAATAAATTTGATGAATTAATCCCTGCATTTAACAATCTTACCAAGGCATTCACCTTGAATCAAGAAATTGACATGAGTGTCCAATTTCGGCATAAATCTTAGTGAAGTTACAACTCTTTCAAATCCTGACGTACTCAAACTGCTACGAGTTACCATTAGTTCCAATACATGGAAAGTGAATAATGAGAAATTCGATCGGCAAACTCAAATTCTCAGAATGGGATGTTTTTCCATGCCTTGAACACTTGCTTTGGATACATGCCTTTCCAAAATTACATTGAGGTGTAACGAATCACTCACTTCTGGTTTTGAGGTCTTCATCTATAAGTAGATCAACGATGCTAGATAGCTCCAATACTATCATGTCTCGTATTGGTTATATATATTTTTGTTTAAACCATTATGCACGAGAATTTAACTTCCTTTATAGATTTTAAGCAGTTGTATGTATCAGCTGAAGCAATAGGAAAGACCAATCGAGAAGCTTATATTAGTACTGGTGCTATCGATGATAAGTTATTATTATACTCTGCCACTGATTTTACTGCTTTCTTTACTTTTATGGATTGTGTGTGTGTCAATGGTTAATCCATGTCAATATCAAGGTCTTTGACATGATGATTTTTATTTATCGTCCATTAGACGGACATTGTTTTCTCCGTATAGGGTCTTGTGATGATTGGATAATTTACGAGCAAGTCCACACTGTTGTAGAAATAACATTGCCTGCTTACTCAATGTTTCTTGTGATGGAACACAAGTAATTAAGAATGTTATCCAAACAGGGAACATCTTTCTATCTGCTATAAACAATCCAATATCTTCCGATCCTATGGAATCATATCAGCAAATGGAAAGACAATGCCATCTGCTATTATAACGGAGATATGCATCCGAATACAACAGCTTCAACCAATCCAAGAGGGCACAAGCAAAAGATAACTCGCTGCCTGTCTTACGTAGTTTGATGATCTGTAGAAATATATCAAACAGAGGATTGTCCTTGAAATTCTCCCACATTGCTGCTCGAGCGCCTCTTGCATAGTGTTGCAATATATTGTTGCAACTCTGAATAGACAAGTTGAAAGGAATCAATCAGTTGGAGTGTCTAACCCGCCCCTCTACCCTTCTCCACTTAAATACCAGACTTTTGTCAAGATCACGCTTCAAACTCATAACGTGCGTCTAATCCACACATAATTTACTACACTCTTACCACTAGACGTCTAGATCAACCACACATCATATACTACGTTCTTACCACTAGACGTCTAGACCAAGCACACATCATTTACTACGTTCTTACCACTAGACGTCTAGACCAAAGCCCTGGGGGCAACCTTGTTTAATTAGTAGCACTACTTCCTCAAATTTTCTTTGGGTAATGTATGCATATACCCCATCCGATCAAGAACTTACTTGTGGGACTATAATAGGGCATGTTGTTGTAAAGTTAAAAAGATGAACTGATCGAACATTTGCCTAAAATCCGCCGATGAATTGGTTGGAACACCATAGAAATTGACTGAGATCTATGAATTGATTGAAAGTTGAAACAATCAAGCAACGGGCTGTCTCAACAAGTTTGGAGGTCTAAAGTCAAATTTGATAGTGATGCCTTATTTTTGTTTAGTCCTCATAGATAAATTGAATAACTATAACATACTCAACGTAATCTTACAAGTGAATCTCGAGAATGTAAGATGTACGCAGACCTTATGTAGTAAGAAAAATTTTAATGAGAAAAATATACTATAAAGTTAGAATAATAAAACTTAACTAAAAAAGTTAAAAAAACTTATATAAT